GTTTGTCCAAGTCAAAATGATGAACATTTGATTGAGAGACATGACAAATGAAATGTCTTCTAACTTCAAAATGCACGTACTTGCTAGGACTTTCTTACTGTTTCAAACGCCAAGCGTATTTTATATTTTTAAGACTTTATTTTAATAAGAGAATGTAAAATTATATTATCACAGAAAAGCTCAGTTTTTTTTTTTTGTTTTTTCAGCACACAGAAAAGCTCAGTTTTTTTTACAACATGTGTAACAAAAGTTTAAATTATTCGAGAGTTAATAAAAACAGAGAGCTAAGAAGAGAGTTTAAATTGTTGAAAAAATATTATTTTTATTCTTACATTTTCAGCTAACAGAAAAATTGAATTAAAACACCGGTGATGATTCCTTACCCAAAAAAATGTTAGATTTGGTTAAAAAAAAAAAACAAATATGAGAAGGACAACATTATAACACGTAAATATGCAAATGCGAAAAACAACAACCGAGATCTATATTTCATGCATGAGAACTAGATCATGTTTTTGTCTGCAGGGGATGTTTCTCTTAACAATGGCAGTAACGGTAAAATCCTTAAGACCGAAATGTGTAAACGGAGTGTGCAACAAGGCATCCTCTTTACAAATAACATTTTTCTATATATCCCTCTATACCATAGCCATTGGAGCCGGAGGAACCAAACCTAACATTTCCACATTTGGAGCGGACCAATTTGATAATTATAGCCTTGGAGAGAAAAAACAAAAGGTTTCATTCTTCAATTGGTGGATGTTCAGCTCCTTCTTGGGTGCTTTATTCGCGACATTGGGGCTCGTCTACATCCAAGAGAATGTCGGGTGGGGTTTAGGTTATGGTATCCCTACCATAGGACTCTTGGTTTCTCTCATTGTGTTCTATGTAGGAACACCATTCTACAGGCATAAAGTCGTCAAAACGGATAATTTGGCTAAAGATTTGATTAAAGTTCCTTTCGCGGCATACAAAAACCGAAAGCTTCAGTGTCCTGATGACCTTTTGGAGCTTCATGAGCTTGACTCCCAGTATTACAAAAGCACTGGTAAACGTCAAGTTCACCACACACCCATCTTCAGGTCAGTGTGCATACCATCTCATCAATGAATCTATATCTTATTATAATTCTCATTAGGAAAACTAATGACATTCTGATTCTAAATAAACGGATAATCCTTTTTTGTCCTTGCCATTATATATACAGTATACAGATAACATATATATATATATATAAGACACGATATATGAATTTAGTTTGATTCCTTGATATATATAGACTAATCAATCAATGTTATGCCTTAGTCTCTGGTGGGTTTTGACGTGGAATATATTATATATACAATGTTGATTTTCATATTTATTGATATCTAGTGAACTTGTTCTGTATAATCTTTTATTGAATGGTCCCCAATTCCCACTTTCTCCACTTTAATGTGTTCTCCAATATCGTCCCACTACATTTTATTGCCAAAATCAATCACATTTCAAACACAAATTAGTATAGAAAACTCAAGATGTGCCAAAAACATTGATACGATTCTAGGTGCGTAGCTTTACTTGTTGGCAATCTTTCTATTAAAAAAAGAAGAAAAAAAAAAAGAAAACATTATTTGGGAACTGATTAGACATATTCCTTCTTTGAAGGCACTTTTTTATACATGAAATCTACATCAAGAAATGTTCACCTTTTAGAACTGATCAGGAAAATTTTGGCATGACCAGAAATAAAGTCATTTGGAATTAATAAATTATATAATATGGGTATTGCTATACAGGTTCTTGGATAAAGCGGCCATTAAGACGTCTTCAAGAGATTTACCATGTACGGTGACAAAAGTGGAAGTGGCAAAGCGTGTACTAGGGCTTATCTTAATATGGCTTGTCACCTTAATCCCAAACACCTTATGGGCACAAGTAAATACTCTCTTCGTCAAACAAGGGACCACGCTGGACCGAAAAGTAGGATCCAGCTTCCAAATCCCTGCGGCTTCGCTGGGAAGCTTTGTTACACTCTCGATGCTTCTATCTGTGCCAATGTATGACCAATTCTTTGTTCCCCTCATGCGCAAGAAAACCGGAAACCCTAGAGGGATCACTTTACTCCAAAGGTTAGGGATAGGGTTTGTTATCCAAATTGTTGCCATCGCGGTTGCTTCGGCCGTGGAGATTAAGAGGATGCGCGTAGTAAAGGAATTTCACATAACTAGCCCGAAACAGGTTGTGCCTATGAGCATTTTTTGGTTGCTCCCTCAGTACTCTCTTCTAGGCATTGGGGATGTGTTTAACGCCATTGGTTTGCTTGAGTTTTTCTACGATCAGTCACCTGAGGAGATGCAGAGCCTTGGAACGACGTTTTTCACGAGTGGGATCGGTCTTGGGAACTTCTTGAACAGCTTCTTGGTAACAATGATTGATAAGATTACGAGTAAAGGTGGAGGGAAGAGTTGGATTGGGGATAATTTGAATGATTCTAGGCTTGATTACTATTACGGCTTTCTAGTGGTGATTTCGATTGTGAACATGGGATTGTTCTTGTGGGCAGCTAGCAAGTATGTCTACAAGAGTGATGAGACCAAAGATTTTAGTGGAGGATGTGTTCAAATGGAGGCCAAAGCCTTAGACACATCTCCTCTCACTATCTGATTATAACAGTGAGAAATGTGTATATATATGGTTTCTTAGGAAATTTGTAAGTTGTGGTATTCTAATTAACATGATAAATAAAGTGTTAGCGTATATTCTAATCAAACAATTAAAACTTGGAAAAAACCAAGTTGTTGCTCAAGTTCAATGGTCTTGTTCCAATTGTTGTAACACACAAATCGATTCTCATTGGTCGCATACACTTGAACATTGAAGAATTACAAGATCGTGGTTTGAAAAAGCTGGTCAATTAGTACCTGAAAAATGGGTAATTTGGAAACTAACGAGCCCTTTTGTCCAAAAAAAAGGGAAACTAACGAGCCCCTGCCTTTAGATTCAACCAACAACAACAAAAAAAAATTGAAACTCTTAACTGTTAAAAATTGTTTTTGTTGTTGTTCAACAACGCCGTTCAAAAAAAAAAAAAAGTTGTTGTTCAACAACTATTAAATACTGTTTAATCTTACTTTTCCCTATCAATATTAAAATTGCATACGATTCGAATCGTACCAAGTGGAATAGTATGTTCCCTTAGGACAAGGGATAATTAAGTGCCATTGTATGAAGCAACCGTGACACTGGACCAAACCCATAACATCACATCCTATAAGGATTCTATCATTGAAGCCAGATAAGCCTTCCAACCACAAAAGCTCTAGTCAATGGTCTTCAAATTACAGTTTAGGTCTAGGCGATTGAATTTCCTAATCGGACATTTGAGGGCGACCTTTTTGCTTACAGTTAAGGGATATGAATTTCACCGGTTTTAGAATATTTCCAACAGCATAATCTGTTGCAAACTTACAACTAGTATATGTGACCATCTTCACAAATACTACTGTCATTTTGATTTTTCACACAAATTAGTCACTCGTAGAATTAGTAAAATAAATAAGAGTGAACTATAATTAAATAGAATAAAGAAAACATTTTTTTAATTCATTTTCCAAATTCTCCTACAAGATAGTGGAGGAATGTTTTTCTCCCAAATTTGTTCATTAAAAAAAATTGATGGAATGAGTTAATTTGTTTTTCCACACTTTTAAATCAAAATTTTGAAACTTTAGTCAATCTATCAACTTTTATTCAACCTAATTAAAATGGTCAAAAATGCTTAATGTACACCCAGTTCCCAGTCAAATGGTTGTTTTTTTGTTCCTCTAAATATACAACCATTTGCACCTTTAAAGTTCTCGATATGTACTAAATAACAATTTGATTTTTAGTATTATGTTTTATTTCTCTAATGTTTGTTTAGAAAATTTAACTAGGGGTAGGTAATGAAAATCTAAAAAACAAGTTGTGAAAACTTAGTTTATTTGACGCAGTCCAATTCCATTGGTGAAATAAATAAAAATTGATACGTAGATCGTTAATGTTTGTATTAATTATATGGACTTGAACTATAACATAATAATATGAGTTTGGTGTAAACTATGTCAAATATATCAATTGTATAAATTTAATAGACTATATGTCTTGGTCAAATATATCGATGATTTAGCGACCACGTGTTATTTTTGTCTAATTTCTCAGATTAGTTTTATCTTGCCATTTTGAAGCAAATCAGTACATTCCAACCGAGCGTTGTTTGCATGAATCTGGTCAGCAATAAGCTGGATTTATTAATTCGATACGCTAAGGAATTCCCGAAAAATAAAATAAATAAACCAAATTAAATGAATTAGTGATAGCATACAGCTGACACTTCACCCCACCTATAAACTAAACAAAGAAAAATCAGCCAACCAATAAACTCTATATATGCGTATATACCTATGCGCAGATCCTAAGCCAGCTATCACACAAAATTTGGTGCAAGTAGCTTTTTTATAGAGTTAAGTAACATTACGTTGCTTGGATTCTAGAATAGCAAAAAGAATATAAAGAAAACTCGGTTAATATGCATGACTCATCAATTGAATTTAAGCTACCCTAAATTTAAGAGCATCATTTATTCATACGTGTATTTCGTCAAGATTTATCAATGAAATATCGAGTTTATTTTTCTTCTATATTCTACAATCTACAAAACGGAGTAATATATATATATATATATATATATATATATTATAAAAAAAAAAATCAATTGACTTCTACTCCTTTTTTTTATTGGAACCGGACTTCCACTTATATATCTAAAACAGGATTCCAAACCTCATCTAATCGGTTATCTAAAATTTAAATAGTACTACTTATCAACTAAACAGTATTAATATACATTTGACCAATGACAGGTTTTTTAACATCAACCTTCCTCTCTTGTATTTATTTAATTAGCTAATCACCGGATCACAAATTATCGAAATAAATTATATGTATTTGTGTGTGCTTGTAGAATGATTTCAATAAATATAATTAGCCGAAGTAGGAGTTGTTCTCACTTTCAATGTCGCCGTATTCTAAGGTTCTTGTGGTTGGTTGAGAGAAAACACAAGAAGATGGAGGAGGAGGAGGAGGATGAGCCGTCGTAGGTTGTGGTGGAGTTGACGGTGTTTGTGGTGATGGTGCAATGACGGAGACGCCGCCAGAGTTGTGAAAGCCAGAGACTTGGGAGTTGGAAGGTACAATCAAAGTGGCCACAGCTTCTCGTTGCTTGTACTTGAGAATCTCGGATCGTACGGCCGTGAGTTCGGCTTGTAATGCTTGAACTTGTTGTTGTAGAGCTGAGATTGCTCCCATGCATCCGTACACCGGATCTCTTAGCCTGACGTTTGCTTCATACACGAGGCTATTCGCCGTGTCTGCTCTCTGGCTTTCCGGTACTTCCTGGTTAGTTTTAAAATTTATGAGAATATTGCCAACAATATCATTTTTTTTGTTATAAGGCACATACTAATCTCCATTTCTGTAAATGATTAAAGAGAAGATGAGTCTAGGGGAAATCAATCTCTGACATAGTTCAATGACATAGACCAACAGAGCGAACGATGTTATTGCATCACTAAACTATTATAAGATATATTTTTGTTTTGCATGCTTAAAAGAAAGAAGATAATAATAGTGTGCTTAATTAAAGGAAACGGTTATTACCATTAGCATCTTGGAGACGTTGCTAGCTCCAAAGACTTTGTGGACGGATGCGAACTTATGAGGCTCGTGTGGGGAGAAATACGGCGAAAATGGACATTCTTGAGCGCATCTTCGGCGCAAAAGCTTGCAAGCAGCACACGGAGTAATGGTGTTGAGGGTCCCGGGAGGACCCGACATTGGCCTTCTAATTCCTGCCATCTGATGAGGCCAAGCATCTGGTTCTCTTTTGATCTTCTTCCCTATCTCTTCAAATCTCTCCCTATACACAAGGAATCGAATAAAAGCTTTAGTTTTCATTGGTAGCATGAATATAGGACCCAAAGGTAGAAACCAACCATATCCACCAATTTGAGGGAAGAAAATTTTAAATCATTGTGAAGAGAAAAAGGGGCTCACTAATGAGATGTTCACTTTTTACCTTTCTCTTGACATTCAGGCATGCTCTCAGCGGATCGAAAGAAAATAGAGAAAAATAGAATGAAACAAAAAAGAGAAATATTAAAGTCAAGTGGCTCTTAAAGAGGGTGTGAAGGAAGATAGTCGAGGAAGGCTTTAAAGGCAAGTAAAATACTAAGTATAAGATTTAAGTGATCACGATATATATTGTATAAGTGTCAATATATAGATAGATATATAAGCAATACTAGAGCTGATTTGTAATAGGACTTTCTTGTGGAGATGAAAAGGAGATTTGGTAGCTCGAGAAGCAGAACAGTGTCTCTTTTAACATGAAAACAACCGAAGATATCTAGTTAGTGAAGACTGAAGGGCTGTATTTACTGCTTAAGCACGTGATGCCTTGAGGGTTTTATTTATTTATTTATTTATTTATTGACTTTACCAATCTGATCACACATAAATATAAATATATATATATATATATTATTTTTTTTTGGGTATGAAGATCACACATAAATATACTTGCATACATGTATATGTAGCAAAGAACTCATTCATCGGTCAGGCAACTACAGATGGAATTCGTGCTTAAATCTTAATGCCTACTTTGAATGTTTTTGTTTTCCCATGGCCGTATGTGGACTTTTGCTTCACATTTAAAACACATCTCTTCTTTATTTTCTTTAGTAATTAAATTTCTGTTTTATATTATGATACCAAGTTTACAGCTAATTATTTGTGGGGTTCATATAAGTATATATACACACGACCGATCAGTTTTAATTGAACGAGCTAAATTATTTTAAAAGTTTATAATAGTAAAAAGTTGGTGAATGTTTAGAAAAAAATATTGGTAGATGTACTTCTCCAAAACAAAGAGTGAAAGAGAATGATAGTTTGATGATACTGGCATGTTAGTTCCTTGTCAAGATCAAGAGACCTCAGTTGTATATATGGGTTTTTTTGTTCATTATGTATTTATATATATATGCGTTGTTATTTTGAAAATGTGTTCCACATAATATTATACAATAATTGTGTTTGTACATGTACGAATCGACTAATCGTACTTATGCATGTATAATTAAGGTATGCATTGTAAAGATTGTGTGTGTATTGATGATTCATAATAGGAGATGGCAGATGCAAAGAATCTTGGTCAAACAAAAACAGATCACTCAGCAAATACCATTTTTGGTCAATAGTAATATGATCTTATGACAAGAATAATTGTCTTTTATTTAATTGTTGTCCAGCTATCATTACGCTCATATACTCTATGTATGCCACTGCTAGTAGATAGTACCCAAACCTTGAATCATGAACACACAAGTTATATGAAATTCATAGGTAAAACTATCATCTCAAGCTTGTTATTATAAGGATGTGAGCGTGTTGCAGAGCGATAATTAGAAGTAGTATTCTCGTAATTATAATATACATAAGTAGAAGTAGTATTCAATTATCTCCAATATCAATTCAAAAACGAATAGAAAGAAGAAGATTGCTTAGACTCTAAGAAAACTTTGCACTTGTACAAATTCTTGTTTGACCCGTATTTGTAGCCTAAACCGTCGCCTCGTTGTTCTCTCCTCTTCTTTGTAATTTAATTTTTAAATTCTTATGGTGTTAACTGTTAAGCTCTTTAGAGTTAGCAGATACCCAGTATTTTTTATTAACAAATAAATAAACATCTAGAATATGAGTGTCCACTTTCGAAATTGAATATTCGAAGATAAAAATAAACTGCGTTAACTAGAAGGGAGTGAGTAATCGTCGACAAAAAAAAAGAAGGGAGTATTTTATTTTAATAGATTAACTTCATATATCATCTAGCAAAATACTTGAACAAAAATTACAAAACCTTTCAAAGTTGACTTGGGCCCTTGTTGGGTCGTCTTTTCGTCGGCCTTCGCTCACAAATATATTCGTTTGAGTAAATTCTACGTTTACTGAAGTACGGTTTTATGGGGTGTAAAATCATTGATCAGTCCGTCTAGGACCACCGTTTTTAAATTGCTAATCCTACATCCTAACACATTTCTTCTAATAGACGTAGCATTTGTAAAATTTATCTTTTGACTCTTGATATTTCTTCTTTTTTTGGTCCTTCTGAGTTCAAGCCATTCTCTAATCAACAGATAAATTGTATACATGATAAAGTATGATTATGATGATATCAATCAAAAGTCAAAGAAATTTTACCAGCTGCATGGTAAAAAATAAATACAGTAGCATGGTAAGAGATAACTATTCATTTGGTAATATTTTGACAGTTGAGGTGGTCTATGTCATTCAGAAGTTTTCAAAAGTTAGAAAAGTGGTATATATCTAGAAAGAAAATTCATTAACTGTTAGACATAAATTTATAATAGATAAATGATATAAAAATGTAAAATAGAAAAATAAAACAGGCAAGCCTAATTCTACCACCTACATTTCTAGATTTTCTACTAAGTTTCTTTACCACCAACCCGCTGCCCCTTCAATTAATTATGACATTTAAAGACTTCAGCAATTAGATCCATCAAATAAAAACTTTTACCATGTGTGCACGAGTGTTCAAGGACTTTGACATACTTTGGGGTCAAGAATTAAATCCTAACTAAATTGTTCTTCTCGTTAAGATTACTTCACTGTTCCCTTACAGTAAATTCGTTATTTCAAAATCCTTATGCCCAACAGTTTTCGTACATTGGAACCTTCTTTTCCTTTTATAGTTAAAGGACAAGCCCCGTCTAGTGAGCTCAGGAGTCTCATCTATTTCTTTTGGTTACAATAACTACACGAAGATTTGGGGAGTGCAATATTTAATCTTTTTTTTTTTTGCCAATATTTAATCTTTTGACACCCAAAAAACGTTGCATATTTTAAGGGAATTCTTCTTTTTAGTAAATGCATTTCACAGTAAGTAAATGACCTGCACAAATTCCATGAACATTAACAAGTTGTTAACCGTCTATTAATAATACTTCCGTTTAATAATAAGTGTCGTTTTAGATTTCATTTTTTGTTTAAAAAAGAATGTTATTCTGCATTTTCAATGTAACTTTTTATCCTTATTTCCTGTTTTATCCTTCATTTAAAGATAATAGTTTCTGTAATTAAATGTTATAAAAATATATTAATTAGATGTATATTTGTATATTTTATTAATTTCTTAATCTATGTGAAATGTGTCAGAATGACACTTATTATGAAACGGAGGAAATACTAGTATATTTAACCTTTGAGGTGGTTAACACCCTTTATTTTATTTTATTTTGTCAAACTAACACCCTTAGTTTCCTTTCTATTTTATGACTTTCATTTATAGACAGAGGATAAAGTTGAATTTTTTCATTTGGCATTTGGTTCAAAGATAGCATAACAGATTAGAGTTATACTTTCGCTTATCGTGGTATAAGTCTGGTTCACCTATATGGTTTATTATCACTTTTGTAACAAACATTCTGGTCTATTTTTTTACTAAAACTTGTAGTTAAGTTTTTTTAGTTCTTAGTTCTTACATACTTGCGATAAAAACTGAGAGTGATTACATTTTTCAAATTCAAATAACACGAACAAACGAGACCAAACAACAAAAAATGAATAGAGCCCATAAATGCTGCACATGGTCAGTTAACCGCCCACATTTTTTTCATGTCATTAGTGCACTATTAGTGGGAGTTTGAGACTCAAAAGTCACCACTAATGCTTTTAATTAGATCTTAGATAAAGTTTGTCTCATTGACTTGATGTCAAAGTATAATAAATCATTAATTCGAAACAAATATAAGTTCACTATCGATCATGAAAGGATTCATTCAAATTACATAACAAAAAAATCAACAAAATCATCACAACAAACAACCATCAATAAGATCAAAACATGATAACTTTTGTTTTCAAAGCATTGAACACAATCAAATTTAAAAACAAGATGGTGAATTCCAAGATCATTTTGCCTCATCCTTTAGTTTTAAGAACGAGATGGCGAGTATAAATTTGGCAAGCTTCTACAGGTAGACATCACTAATATGGCCATTCACCCATGTAATGTTTACCTGAGGAAGCTTGCAAAACTTGTACTCGCCAATCTTGATCCTGTAACTAATATCGTGTTCAAAAAGGCAAAAGCCAAAACATTAAAAAGGTAAAAAGAATCTTAATATCAAGATCCTATTTTGTAACAACAACCGATATAAGAACAACAAGGGAAAAACCATTTAAATCAATCTAAGATCTTTACGACTAGATCCATGGCTAAGAACAGAACACAAAGCTCTCTTCATACTCCCCATTGATGAACTAAACCCTCTTTTATAACACAACGTTGACGTCGGAGACGACGACCCAATAGTCTCCTCCGCATCGTCGTCCTTAACGTACGATCTCGAGCAAGAAAGGTAACATTTTTTAGGACGATTCTCTGTTTTAGACCGAGGAGACGAGGAAGAGGAAGAAGAAGATGAAGACGTCGAAGAAGACCAAGAAAACGAAGGACGCGACACGTGATGCTTTCCGTTGAACAGAGTCTTCACGAATCGAGTTTGTTTCGCTCTAACTTTGCTCAGTTTGTTCCCGGAAGAAGAAGAGGAGGAGGAGTAATACGACGGAGGCGGCGTTAATGGCGGAAGACGAAACGATTCCGAGAAAAGAGAGTGTTTTGGAGTGCCTGGCCGTGTCTCCCATAGAAACGGCACGGAAGCTCCGCCGTAGTAATAGATTCTTGACGATGAATTGACCTGCGAGCTCTCTTTGACGATGACCTTCGAGGATCTGACTCTGTTTGTGTCGTCTTCTGATCTTTCTGACATTGTCTTTAAACTCCTTCTCTGAGTTATGTCTTGAGTCAGGTTTTATCAGAATTAAACTACCAAAACGGAAAAAAAAAAAGAAAGATGCGAGATCCGAAGACGACGAAGCTTCTTTCTGATATAAAAGAGAGGCAAAGGCGCAATCTATATTTGGAAAAGTGATGCTTTGTTAGTGTAAGAGAAGTTTGCGGAAGAATTAAAGGATCTCTCTTTGCATGGAGTGTGTAAGCAAGCACATGTCATGTGCTTATGTATTATTTTTTTTTTCTCCTTTTCTTTTTGTATTATCTGTATAACTTTTGGATTTTTCTATTTTTCTTTATAATTTCACATGGATGACCGTATGGCTTATATATATATATATATATATCAGTCGAAAATAATTGCAGAAGGCAAGAAATGGTTAGATAATAAATGAGTGGGGGCGATCTACTGTTCAATGTGTAGGCGACTTAAATGTTATTATTATTTACACCAATTGGGATTTCAAAAAATAGTTAATAAATTTTGTTGTAAAAAATATTCTATCCAAATAGGATGTTTGAAAACAAAAAAAATTAGTTGAACTTCATCCGCTCTTTTTTATATATATATTTTTTTTTACCTCCTCCGCTCTTTTTATATATATATTAATAAAGTTATTTTAATATATAATTTTTTTTTTGTAATTTCCTATTTTTGTGTTTTTACTTTTTAGTAAAATCATCATATTAAATTGGACGAAAGGAATAAAATACTCCTAATACGGTAGGATCTTAACTTCTTTCTACTACTGATTGAACTTAGAAATCAAGTGAACTCCTGTGGTAGCTACAAAATTTACAAGATAAATCGTTGGATCGTTGTCGCTATTAATTTCGTTGAAGATGCTATATAAACGTGTATGATCAATAGAGGAGGTGGCGAAGTGGATGAGTGTGGACCGTTGGATGTACAGTTGAGCTCCCGAATTTATGAAGAGGCGATGCGTTCGTGGTCCATTTTTCCGTACTGATATTTTGCTTCAATTCGATAGATAAATAAAGACAAAGTTAGTTAGAAAAATATAAGGCAAAGCTCCTCCTATTAATTATTTCATACCCACCTATATACATTACACGTATTGTATATTGTGTATATATATATATATATACACTCAAAAATCTATTTTTAAAAATGGTCTAGACAAGTGTGTAGACCAGTTCCAATACATTTTATCGGTTTTTATATTTTTTTTGCAGACTGCTAGGTTCAAGAGAACAATCGGTTAGATACTTAGATAGTGTAGGCTATCTTTGTCCGATATAACTTTTAAAGGTCGTACCAACTACCAAGACATCAAACCTCATCAAGACATCAAATGGTTCAAAGCTTTTTAAATATTGGTGTGCCATCTTTGTTTAAAGCAATAAATCGAAAGATACAAGAAATTATAATAGTTGATCATGATTTTTATCTGATATACAGTGAGATTTTTGGAGTATAACACAGATCGGTTTGAATATACGTGTCGATGTATTTATATTTAGAATCAAACCTTGGTTTAACGCATCACTGATACTCAAAATTTAATGCTTATTAATGTTTTTCTGACTTACTCTGTCAATATGTAAAAAGTATAATCAATCATATCAAACATAAATTATATACTCTGTCAGTTTGATGTAAACGCAGCTCGCATTTTCTGCAGCGATATCGGTCCTCATGGCCTTTTGCCTTGGCCACTTTTTTCGTGTGTTATGCGAGCGTGGTTGGCATGTGTGTATTAATCCGCCAATTAAAGGATTTTTTTTTTTTGGGTCCCAAACACTAATAATTCTTAAACTAATTTTTGTTTTAACCCCCATGTAAGTAATTAGTTTACAAATAAGATTGACGAAAAAGACCTTTACTCTGTTGCCACCAATGAGTTCGTACGTTGTAATGAGTTCGTTTCGACTTGATTGCAGCCATTAATCGTGGTTGACGTATGGTAAACTTTCATATCTCGATTTAGGATCAGACAAAATAAGATAATGGATGCAATGTTCCAATCCATTTACGGAAGTGACTCCACAACATAAATAAGAAATCATAACATTGAAAAAGATATGGTGGTTGTGATAATTATACGTACCAAAAAAATCAGTACAACAATTATTAAATCTGCTCTTTTTCTAGAGGATGTCCCTTTTTTTATATATTTATGTAATTTCATTGCTTCTATTCCAACATTATTCACCAATGATAATTAAAATGAAAATGATACTATTAGTGACATGATTCACCAAACTTACGCCAGTAAAATGAAAATGATACTGTTAGTGACATGATTTACTAAAAACAAACCGAAATTTAATTTTTCTTTTCTTCAAATAAGAACATGATTTACTAAAAAACTAAACTGAAAATAACATTATTTCTTTGAATAAGAGTAAAATTTTATTTGAGTATGGGCTTATATAAGGCCCATATGAATTTGACCGTCGGTAGCTAAAACGTCGTCGGTTAATTGATTGGTCCCTAACCCCAACTCTGCCTTTCCGTAAAGCTAGTGAAACTGCAATTCCCAATATCTTTTCCGTTTGCTCCGCAATCAACGGCCCAAATTGAGTAATCAGTCAACCATCTGATACAACAGATCTCACGTGAACCTGTTTACAAACACCGGTCAATCTAATCCACTACCCAATAGAAATTCGCCACGTTATCATCCCCTTAAGTCTCTATCTTTCTCACCGAGTGGTGTTGGTGTGACTCGCTAACGAGAAAAGCAAAATCATGGCGATTCGCTCCTTCAAAAAGCTCTTTTTCTTTTTACCCTCTCCCTTTTTCCTTTCTCTCTTTCTCTTTCTTTCTTTTGATTTGCTCTGTACAGTAACAATGATTACTGGAACGTGTTTCTTCTCTTTAAATCCCACAACAATCCATCGTCTCTCGGTTCTTTGTGGTGGTGGCGATGGCAGAAGAGGAGCATCAGAATCCTTTGGCTGACGAGATTCCGGGGATCCATGAGCTGAATTGTCAAACCGGGTCTGAGAATTTCGGGTTCTGCGTCGACCCGGCCGGTGTTTCTCATGTACCGGGGATAAGGAGAGTGGGTTTGAGAGCTGAGATCGATACTTCTCCGCCATTCGGGTCGGTTCAGGAGGCGGTGACCCGATTCGGTGGTCGTGGATATTGGGTTCCTTTAAAGCTCGAAGACAATTACGTAAGTTTTCTACTTTCTCCAGTTTCCTTCTAATAGCTCATCTCCAATGTTGGATCAGTTCAATTACAAAACACATTGATATGGATTGTATACTAAAAATTGATGCTTTGATGGTGACCATTGTTCTAGATTGAGGAGAAAATTTCATGATTGCTGTGCAAGTATGTAAATTTAAGTAAAATGTCATGAATTCTGTGCAATTGAGTAGCATTTCATCAGTGAAATGGAGTGGAATTTCATAATTGAGGTGAAACTGAGTAGGTTAGTTCTACCCCTGAGATCATCATCATTGTGTGTCTACGCACGCACTGAGATTGGTTCCATAACAAGGATGCTGGTTTTGTATAATTTTTGAAGATTTGATTGTATAATGTCTGTGATTACTGTTTATGAAGTTGGATTAGGAGTTGATATTTATATATGTTGGTTTTGTTAATTGTTCAGAATGGTGTGGGAGAATTTGACATAAAGAGAATGGAAGAGCATGCGGCGGAGCTTGAGAAGGATCTGATAGTGAAAGAGCTGGAAACTTTGGATGTACTAGAAGCGCTTGGATCAACAAAAAGGATCGTTGAAGATCTGAAGCGGCAGCTTCATCAAGAATCCCTGAGATCAGCTGAACATCTGAGTTCAGACATCAAAGAGATGAACGATGAGCATTGCAATCACAATCCCATGTCATCTCCTGATCTGATCTTATTGGAACTGAAGCAAGCCAAGATGAATCTTGGTAAAACCATGGATGATCTTGTGACGATCCAATCCTCTGTTGAATCTCTGAATAAGAAAATGAAAGAAGAGAGAGATTTCCTTGAGAAGACACGAGCGAAGCTAACATATGCGTTTGGTGGAGCGGTGTCTCTAGCTGAGGAGCTGAGCCGGGTTAATATAAAACCACAGGTTCCAGATGAAGGACAGAGATTCATTACGAACAACCCACCAAAGGAACAGGTAAAAATGGTTGCTGAAACCGATGAAATGGGTTTAAACCAGCAGAACAAGAACTCTCTGAAAACTGCAGAGATGAGATTGGTTGCTGCTAGAAAAATGGAAGAAGCTGCAAGAGCAGCGGAAGCACTTGCGATTGCTGAAATAACAATGCTATCATCATCCAACGGTGAAAGCGAGGATGATCAGGAATTTTGCTTTCCAGAGCCTCCAAGATCTCCCTTAACACCGAGAGGGCTAAGGAATGACAATGATTTCTCCACCAATAACAGTTCAAGAAGAGGAATTTTGAAGAAGCTTGAGGAAGCTACCGAAGGAGTTAAACAAAGTAAACAAGCTTTGGAAGCTGCGTTGAACCGAGTAGAGATTGCTAATGTGAAGCAACTTGCAGCTGAGAATGCTTTCCGCGGGTGGACAAAAGACTCATCGAAAGGCGATTACTTTACACCTTTGAATCAAACCCGACGTTCGTTTTTCAGCCATATGAACAAGCAGCATGAACCACTTGACAATCTCCCAAAGCCTGTGTTAAAGTCTAATGTCTCAATGCGTGATGTTCTAAGGCGTAAGCAAGTTCCAAAGGAAGATGTTGTTGTTCCCGAAAGGCAGAGCCTTGAAGGGCAAATCCCGAGGCGAAATGCGAATTTGAGTCAGATGTTGAAGGAATTGAAGCAAGATATAAAGTTTTCTTCACGGGCCGAGAAAGAGGAGGTACATGAGGAGAAACAGTTTGTAACGCATAGGAGAAAGTTTGGTTTCATACACATTACGCTTCCAATGCAGAAACAGAGTAAGAAAAAATCCAGCCTTTAACGAAACAAGACCTTTCACTATGTTTCTATTCTCATCCTTATTGTTTTTGTTTGTAATAGGTTTTTGATTGGTTATCATTTGGTTTGATGTGGTGTGATTGGTTTTCCTGTCTTTGTATTTGTTTTCAAGAGAATAAATATACAATTAGTCTTTAAATAAAGCATAATGCTCTGAAACAACCGTAGCAGAATATGATACTGATTATTGACTAGTGTAGCTTATCTTCATATATAGTGAACATACTGTATAAACTATAAAGCAAATCAAACCGAACCAAATTTAACCAAAGGTTTATAGCCCAAAATTCGTTTAACCTTAATAATCAAAATTTAAATCGGACACATATTAGTTAATTTTCAAAAAAGAATTACACCTTTTAATGACATGGCACACATTTGCTGACTAGGCAATGCTGAGTCAACGTCAGCAGATCTCTTATCATCTATATTTTCTATCTTCTTCTCCTAATCTTCTTTGTCTGCGTTGAAGAGAAGAAGATGCTAAGATCCCAAAGCAGAGTATAACAATTACACCTCGCCAAAGAAGCCAGCCTTCAGATTTTCTGGGCGATCGGAAAAATGTCAATCCTTCAACTCTCTAGTTCTTCTCTTTCTTCTTCTACTATTCTCTCCATCTCTCCCAGAAAATCTCTCTCGTCTCCCAAGTCTTCTCGGATAGTTCGTTGTTCCGTCGAGGGTAATTGTTTCTAACCCTTCAAATTCTTCATTTTTGATGCAATTTTGGTGAATTTCTATCTGGGTATCTGGAGAACTACGAAATATCCACAAAAGTTCTCTCATTTCGGCAACTGGTAATCGAATTGGGTCATCCTTGTAATACTTGAATTGATTGTTTTGGTTACTCGATTCAGCATTTAATAATGACCTTCAATGGTAATCCGAAGAAATTTTCAGATTTTCGTTTACCAATAACCTCTGTGGTAGAAGTTAGGATTTGCGAGTTTGCTCATCATAAGATGATACAGTAGTCCCTGTTACAACTATATGATCTTTTTCGTGCTTCTTATAAGTAAAGTATATTGCTTGATTCAATAATTGGAATGTTTCTATATGATTCTCATTGATTTTCCCTAAATTGACTAAGAATATGGATGTGCAAAAGCTTATTTTGGATGGTGTTATTAGTAGCCTCCTAATCTTGTGCTTCGTGTGTAGGAACTATTGTTACTGAGAGAAAAGTATCGGCAACCACCGAGCCTCTTCTTCTGAGAGCTGTCAAAGGTGAAGTTGTTGATAGACCTCCGGTTTGGCTTATGAGGCAAGCCGGGAGGTACATGAAGGCAAGCAATTTTACATTTTAAGTTGCTTACAAACTCACAATGTGGTTATTATTTTTCTTTCGAATTTGTGTGACCTGAGTGTTGGTTAATATAATGTGCAGAGTTATCAAACTCTCTGTGAGAAATATCCTTCTTTCCGGGATAGATCAGAAAATGCTGATCTTGTGGTGGAAATTTCTTTGCAACCGTGGAAGGTGTTCAAGCCAGATGGAGTAAGTTCTTCTTCTTCTTCTTCTTTAATCCATTTACTTTGGAGATCTCGTAAATCGCTGACATGTCTGTTATTTAAAATGTATGAAAAGGTGATTTTGTTCTCAGACATCCTCACTCCTCTGTCTGGAATGAACATACCTTTCGACATTGTTAAAGGAAAAGGTCCTATCATCTTCAACCCGCCGCAATCAGCTGCTGATGTGGATCAAGTTAGAGAATTCATACCAGAGGAATCTGTTCCATATGTTGGAGAAGCACTCAAAAGATTAAGAACTGAGGTAATAATAGTGATTATCAAAGCAACAAATGCTCTTAAGCTCTTAATCTGAAGAATTTGCTTTGTTTCAGGTGGGCAACGAAGCTGCTGTTCTGGGTTTTGTTGGAGCTCCATTTACTCTTTCTTCGTATGTTATTGAAGGTGGCTCATCTAAGAACTTCACACAGATAAAAAGATTAGCTTTTTCTCAACCCAAGGTGGATTAAATACTAACCTTAAACTCGACAGTTTGGTAAAAAAATATCAGATGCTGAAAGTTTTGTCTTTCTTCTTCTCAGGTTCTACATGCTTTACTCCAGAAGTTCACAACCTCGATGATCACTTACATACGCTACCAAGCGGATAGTGGAGCTCAAGCTGTGCAAATATTTGATTCTTGGGCAACCGAGCTTAGCCCTGTGGATTTTGAGGAGTTTAGCTTGCCTTATCTTAAACAGATTGTGGAGGCTGTGAAACAAACTCACCCGAACCTACCTCTAATATTGTACGCGAGTGGATCAGGAGGCTTGCTAGAGAGACTGGCTCGAACAGGTGTGGATGTGGTGAGCTTGGACTGGACTGTGGACATGGCTGAAGGAAGGGACCGGCTAGGAAGAAACATAGCGGTTCAAGGAAACGTGGACCCGGGAGTTCTGTTCGGTTCGAAAGAGTTTATCACAAGCCGGATTCATGATACTGTGAAGAAAGCTGGGAGAGAGAAACACATTCTCAATCTAGGGCATGGTATTAAAGTTGGAACCCCTGAAGAGAACGTTGCACACTTCTTTGAAGTTGCTCAAGGGATTAGATATTAGAGAAAGAGCGAGAAGAGAAAAACGAGACAAGATTATGCTCTGTTCTTCGCTTCGGCTTCAATCTTTTTCCTATTTGATTTGAGATGTGTAATTTTAGGTTTTTCTATAGTAGATTTGTTTGTATTTTCTTATCTTCTACTCGGCTCCACAATTTGATTTTTATATGATATAAGATTTTGAAAACCGTGTTATATTAAGTAAACTTACCTGAATATTTTACCTCAATATTACTAAAAATATCTGATATGCTAACACATTGAAATACTTCTAATAGATTATTATAATTCTGATTAATATAAGTAAAATAAACCATAATATATGTGAGATTTTTTTATTATTTGATTTTTATATGATAAGATTTTGAAAACCGTGTTATTTAAGTAAACTTACCTGAATATTTTACCTGGATATTAAGACTAAATATATTTCATAAATATAAGTGAGATTTTAGAATGCAAAATAAGTTTGGATAACAATAGATAATAGATAACGTGTGAGAGTTAATTTCGGTTTTGTGTTTTCTTGGAATTTTTTTTTTTTTTGGAAAAACCAGTCGGGTAATAAATAAATTTCGATTTGGGTTTATATTTTGGTTCAATTCGGTTTTTCGGTTATGATACTATTTTGCCCACACTTATATGTTGTTTGTGATATATATTGTTATTCACATCGTTGTAGATAGTCATATATTGAACTAAGATTAAGGATAAGATTAATGCATATCCATAATTTGTGAATCTGGCCCTTGATATAAACTTTTTGATGATTTAGTTAAAACGCTTAATGATCAATCATCAAACTAATTAATATATTTGAAAAAAGGAAAAGTAACATGAAAAAACCAAAACAAAATTAGTATAACTAATTTCACAAAGCGTTTGGATTTTGATCAGCTCTAGAAAATATACAATTCATTCTTACATTATCCATTATATAACTAATTGACCATAATTTTATCTGTATATACCAATGATTAATCAAAAGTTTTCCTACGTAAAAAAGAAAGTGTGAAACAAAAATATCTCCTCCTAATCATCTACGAAAGAGGACTGAGCGTGGCCACCACCGACTAACCAAGATATAAATAGAGAGCAACGTTGAACAAACAGCTCGTTAATTTTCTGTAAACCAAACGTAAAAGAGAGAGAGAGATATTATATCCGTAGACAAAAGTTCAACACCATCTATGGAGGAGACTCAGAATGATCGTGGAGTTGGTTTTCGGTTTCGTCCAACAGATCTGGGGTTGGTGAGGTTACATCTTCGCAACATGGTAGTCCATGGGAAGAGCGGTTGCATAACAACTTTGGATGTGTACAAGGACGAGCCATGGCTTCTTGATCACGTAAACAACGATCTCTTCTACGAAAACCAATGGTACTACTTTGTTCCGAGACCTAACTTAGGAGGCAAGAAACCGAAGCGGACCGTACCAGGAAGAGGAGAAAGTGAAGGAGGCACATGGAGAAGCGTTACTTCGAAAAAGGAGATCGATGACGATAACAAGAAGGTGGAGGGTTACATGCAGGGTTTCGTGTACACCAAGCAAGTGAACGGAATTCCAGTGGGCACTAATTGGCTCATGACCGAATATTCCCTTCATAATGATGTTCACGACGACTTGGTCTTGTGTTGGATCCGATACAATACCGACAAGAAGCCCAAACCTGAAGTCGGTGATCAGGCGCCTCGTTTAAGAAACAACGTCTTACCGAACCAAGTGAGAGAAAAAGAAGAAGAAGAAGAAGAAGAAGATGATTTAACCGGTTTCGCTAATGGAATTGAGGATATGTTGCTAGAGGGAGAACATGGTGACGTCACTCATGAGCAACAACAGCAGCAAGATCCACCGATTCTTCTTCAAGGTCATGATTCAGGGTTCGAGACACAGAGCAACGATCAAAATCAGTGGGATGATTTTGGCTTCGATGGCTCGGAGAATTTGATGATAGACGTTGGTGAACTCATGGCTGTGGAAGGTGACGTCACTTATCAACAAAAACAACACGAAGCGCAATTTTAAATACCTCAAGTGATTCCTCAAGCTCAAGATCCAAGAAGACTTGTGGCCGTGCTCACGTTAAAATATTAGAAACATGGGCGTATGGCATCAAGTTTTTGAGAGAAACTTAGCAACCTTTTCTTTGCAAGATTTACACAAACATATTAATTTGTCTTTAATATTGTAATTTATTTTTAGTAGGCTCATTAATATTGGTTATTAGGATATTAGGATAAACAATTGCAATATTAGGATAAACAGTTACTTGAGTTTATTCTTATTGTAATTTGTCTTTTTCAATATTCACCTTTTGAACTATAATAGATAGTTGTTTCAGAATAGTTATAAGTTATAAGTTATAACCTTTTTATAGTCCCAAGCCTGGTCAACCAGGACAGCCCCCTCGTCCTGCTGGAGCTGGACGGCTGGATCTGGAGCTGTACCACGTGTCTGAAGCCTGCTCCTTTTTTTTTAAAAGGATTTTGTTTCCTTATGTTTGATTCAGAATGTACTCCCTCTGTTTCCAGTTGTTACATGTTTTTGATATTTCACAATGTTAAGAAAGTATTTACTTACTATTACAACTCTGTCCTTGTTTTTATTAGTTAATACTTGTAGTTTTCTACAATAAGATCGAAACCAGACTCTTCTGGTTTATTACATATATACATCCCAAAAAACATTACAAAAATTAACAGAGGTCTTACATTACTATATTCAAAGTTTTACATCTAGAAAATATAGGTTTAATTACATTGTGTTCAGTTCAACATAATTTATACAAAGTAACAAGAAAGAGCTAATATTATGTAAACTTAATGATAGATTGATAGACTAACTCATTATTACATTTTTATAACTTCAAAACTACCAACTCATTAAAGAAACTCGGGAATCAAATCATTCCGACAAGAAAAATCGCTAAGTCATAAGACCATCTTGGATACTTTTGCCATTGGTTTGCAATGAAAGAATCTTTGCATTACTCAAATTGTGTTTTTTCTTTTCTTTTCCAGAATCTCAATTGCTTTGATATTTTTCTCAACAGATGATTGACATTATACAAAAAAAAACAACTCTATATGAAAAAAAGATGTTCGTTTCTGATAATCTTAACAAAGAGCTTCAATCTAGCTACTAAAGTCTTGCTTCTTTGCTTTGGTCTTCTTCAAGAATCTCCTCAACTCCACAACACTAGTCCAATCTCTTTTCTCGCCATGAACTCTACGCAGAACATTATATAAGCCTCTCTCTTCTCAGCCTCGAGATTCACTCTCATCCGAATTTTCTCGCTGAGACGAGAGAAAACCAAACACTTGCTTTAGATTCCCTCTAGATGGTCTGGCCTTTACAACGTATTTGCATATAAATATTAGCATCCGTCGCATCTCCATTTTTGTAATACTCTTTTCTTCAAAAGATTTTCCACCATCAAAGGCCCCTAAAAATGATTCAAAATTTCTCAGCATCATGATATAAAATTATAAACCAATAGATCCAAGTGTTTTAGATTTCTGTGTTTCATGGTTAAGAACACAATTATGGTTTAGTCTAAGTATTGTGGAACCGGAAAAACCGAAAAAGTACAAAATGCCATTAATTACCTTCTTCGTTGAATAATGATATCAAGATGGCCAAACATACACATACGCTGATATCTTCCCCTATTATATCACGATTACAATATATGATTAAACCACCATAATTAGGTACAACCTACAATCATGTTTCAACTTACAACATTCGTAAAACTTACCATCCTGACAACAAACTAAGAGCTTCTTATCCATCCTAAGCTTCTGCTTAGCAAAATTAACCGCGGAAGGAAGATTCTTTAATATGGAAAATCTATCAAACTTTGAACCCTGAAAAAAAAACATACACATTTTAATAATTATTTTTTTTGAAATAAAACTGTGTATCCTATCCCGTGACAAGAGTTTTGTTACTTTTTTTCCCTTAATGGTATACCTTCATAGGTAGATGCAAATGCTCTTCATGATAAGATAGAGGGACTGAGATCGGATTTTGATCGCAATTTATTATGCAGTCGATAGATGTCGCCTTACCAACTAGATCACACCCAAAAAAAAAAGATAAAAAGATTTGATGAGAGGCTGAAGTTATTAACAAAGCTTAATTAATGCAGAGGAAAATTAAACTCACCAACTTGTGATGACCCAACAGCAAGATTAGTTGAAGCCAACCAAGATACTAAGCTTTCTTCATCGACATTCTTCATCCCAACTTTAGGTTTTGGTACACTAAGAGATAAGATTTCATCACTCTTTGCGCCACCATAAGATTTTGATGAGCATTTGACAACAACCTGAGGAGCTTCCTGACCCCTCTGTGCTCTGTACACTCTTTCATTCTCAACAATCTCCGCAACTTTCTGGTTACACAAGCCAGGTCCCGAGTCAATAAGATCGTCAACATGTGTCCAGAAAACACTCGGAGATAAACCTCTAGCCCAGCTCTCTTCATCATCACCAGCTCCTGGGATATAACTCCAGCTAAACTCTGAATTGGTTCTGTGCTCAACTTCACCAGAAGCAGAAGCTGAGACAAGGATGAGAGGTGTGAAATCCCATGAATCATGCTCAGGTACTTCATTCAACCATATGACTGTTTTCTGCGAAACCCAAAGAGGGCGTAAAGGTTTCCTCAAACATGAAGCCAGAGAAGCTATATCAGCTCCACTCTCGTCTAACTGTCTTGTCCATTCATCTAGTCGAGCTTCAATAGAGGCCTTCTCAGTTTTTGAAACCCATAGTGGAAGATGTAACGAACAATCCCATTTATCAAACACTTGCCTTATGTTACCACCATCATGATCATCACTAGTCAAACCCTATCAAGAAAAAAAAACAGAGAAGAAGAAAAGATTGTAAATATCAAGAATGATTCCTCAAAAGATTAAAGAAAAACCAGTTCTTTAACCAAGTTTCTTCCTCTTGGTAATATAAAAAATTTGAACAATGTAGTAATCTAGACACTGGACATCACATTGTGTAACTCACTGCATCAGTGTTACATAATCTCTTCAAGTGATTAAATATTGATCGGTTCAATACACATGACCATATGGGTATTGTTTTAGACATGCTATCCGGAAACCTCTTTCCTTTCCGAGTAGAATCAATAATGATACAACCTCCTTTTTCTCCTATCCATCGGAAAAAAACAAAAGTGAATAATAAAAAAGAAGCATAAGGATATGTTTCTTGATGGATCATATATATACCAGCGAGAAGAGGAAGATGGAGATTGAGCCGAGAAGTGTTGAAGGACAAGTTGTTGGTATGGCCATCGGTGGATTTGAAGTAGCAAGTGGCGTCGAATCTAGGCGAATACCAGAGACCACAACGAAGGTTGGCGAGAAGAGGAAGTTTCGGCCATAGCTGCGAGATCTCATCGACGAAGATGGAGTCTTGGTAGATTGATCGGAGAGCGTTGTAGAGGCTATTGTCTCTTCGCTTTATTCTCCTCGCAGCTCTGTATATACTATCTCTTGTTGTCCTTGGCTCTTTCTCGTTTTCCGCCATTGTTTTACACCAAGAAACACACCTGCTTCTGAAATTCTGTGAAAAAGTTTATATTGGTACTTGATATAAATATCTGGAAAAAAAAAAAGTAGAGAAACATAAATTCACCTCTGACACAGGAATCTAATCTAAGAAAACCGAAAGTACAACAGGTACTTGCGGTTTTAAGATAGAGAGATCACAAAATAAGTGAAAATTGAAAAAAAGAAGTACGAATTGCAGAGGAAAAGCGGCGCAGCAAAATGATGGAACAGAGGAAGACGATGGGATAGGTTTAACAAACCACAACTGTTTTGGTTTTCTTGGATTTTTTTTATTTTTTTTAAGAAAAAACAGTCGGTTTAAATAAATTTCGGTTTGGTTTTATTTTTTGGTTCAGTTTGGTTTTTGGTTATGATACTATTTTCCCCACTCTTATGTTGTTTGTGATATATATTGTGGTATATTCACATCGTTGTAGATAGTCATTGAACTAAGATTAAGGATAAGATTTATCCATATCCATAATTTGTGAATCTGGCCCTTTACATAATTTTTTTGAGGATTTAGTAAAAACGTTTAATGATCAATCAAACTAATTAATATATTTGAAAAAAGGAAAAGTAACATGAAAAAACCAAAACAAAATTAGTATAACTAATTTCACAAAGCGTTTGGATTTTGATCAGCTCTAGAAAATATACAATTCATTCTTACATTATCCATTATATAACTAATTGACCATAATTTTATCTGTATATACCAATGATTAATCAAAAGTTTTCCTACGTAAAAAAGAAAGTGTGAAACAAAAATATCTCCTCCTAATTATCTACGAAAGAGGACTGAGCGTGGCCACCACCGACTAACCAAGATATAAATAGAGAGCAACGTTGAACAAACAGCTCGTTAATTTTCTGTAAACCAAACGTAAAAGAGAGAGAGAGATATTATATCCGTAGACAAAAGTTCAACACCATCTATGGAGGAGACTCAGAATGATCGTGGAGTTGGTTTTCGGTTTCGTCCAACAGATCTGGGGTTGGTGAGGTTACATCTTCGCAACATGGTAGTCCATGGGAAGAGCGGTTGCATAACAACTTTGGATGTGTACAAGGACGAGCCATGGCTTCTTGATCACGTAAACAACGATCTCTTCTACGAAAACCAATGGTACTACTTTGTTCCGAGACCTAACTTAGGAGGCAAGAAACCGAAGCGGACCGTACCAGGAAGAGGAGAAAGTGAAGGAGGCACATGGAGAAGCGTTACTTCGAAAAAGGAGATCGATGACGATAACAAGAAGGTGGAGGGTTACATGCAGGGTTTCGTGTACACCAAGCAAGTGAACGGAATTCCAGTGGGCACTAATTGGCTCATGACCGAATATTCCCTTCATAATGATGTTCACGACGACTTGGTCTTGTGTTGGATCCGATACAATACCGACAAGAAGCCCAAACCTGAAGTCGGTGATCAGGCGCCTCGTTTGAGAAACAACGTCCAAGTGCGAGAAGATGAAGAAGCTGATTTAACCGGTTTCGCTAATGTACTTGAGGATATGTTGGTAGAGGGAGAAGAGCATGGTGACATCACTCAGCAACAACAACAACAAGGTCATGATTCAGGGTACGAGACGCCGATGATGACGACGAAACAGAGCGACAACAACAACATAACGATGACGACACAGAGCGACGACAACAACAACATGACGATGACGACACAGAGCAACGATAACAACAACATGAATCAGTGGGATGATTTTGGCTTCGATGGCTACGATAACAACATGAATCAGTGGGATGATTTTGACTTCGATGGCTCGGAGAATTTGATGTTAAATGTCGATGAGCTCATGGCTGTGGAAGGTGACGTCAGTTGCAATTTCAAATGATGGAACAGAGGAAGACGATGGGATAGGTTTACCAAACCACAACTGTTTTGGTTTTCTTGGATTTTTTTTTTTTAACAGTCGGTTTATAAATAAGTTTCGATTTGGGTTTATATTTTGGTTCAGTTTGGTTTTTGGTTATGACACTATTTTGCCCACTCTTATGTTATTTGTGATATATTGGTCATTCACATCGTTCTAGATAGTCATTGAACTAAGATTAAGAATAAGATCAATGCATATCCATAATTTATGAATCTGGTCCTTGAGATAAACTTTTTGAGGATTTCATTAAAACGTTTAATGCTCATCAAACTAATACAATTGTCTCATGTGGCCACCATCATGATCATCAGTAGTCAATTCTTATTCAAATAAACAAAGAAGAAGAGATTGTAAGATACGAAAGAATGTAATGAAAAACCAGTTCTTTAACTAAGTTTCTTCCTCTTGGCAATATAAAAAATTTGAACAATGTAGTAATCCAGAGTTCCAGACGATGGACATCATATTGTGTAACTCACTGCATCAGTGTTACATAATCTCTTCAAGTGATTAAATATTGAGCGGTTCAATACACATGACCATATTAAGGAATAAGATTAATGCATATCAATAATTTGTGAATCTGGTCCTTCACATAGAATTTTGAGGATTTAATTTAAACGCTTAATGATATCAATCAAACTAATATATTTTTGAAAAAAGAAACGTAACATGAAAAAACAAAAACAAAAATTAGTATAATTAGCTTCACTAAGCGTTTTGGGTTTTTATCTCTTCTATGAACTATACGTTTATTGACCGTGATTTTATTTGTATACCGATAATTATTCAAAAAATTATCATGTTATACGTTTACGTGAAAATTTATAAAATCAAGGCTGGAGTCTCTGATCCGCTTCTTTTGCTGGAAACCATGTTTAATGGTATCTGGTGAGAAACACAAAATGAGCTTGAGATTTGGCTATCTTAATGATGCCATAGGCCTTTGATCGAGGGAACATTTTGTATCATATTACCAGAATTACTGAGAGTATTCTTATGTGCTTTGTTTTGCCTCTATCGTAATATGTTCATGAACGTTGCTGATAGGATTGCTTCTCTTAAATTGTTATATGGTTTTTTCTATTGATACAAATTCCATGGATATTGTGCTAAGGTTGTGATGTATGAATATTGGACTTGTTGCGTATTCTTACAAACAAATATATCATTCCGGTGATTGCTTTGCTAGTATTGTATTCAGTAAGGATTGTATTCAATAAGGATTGTATTCAGTTGTTATCTTTGTGTAAACTCTCATCTTATTTGACTGCATTTGCTTTGTAGTTGACAGTATGTCTCACAGAAAGTTTGAGCACCCAAGACACGGTTCTTTGGGTTTCCTGACCCAAATTTGTATACGTTTATTGACCGTGATTTTATATGTACAAGGACGAGCCATGGCTTCTTTTTTTTTTTTGTTCGAAAGAGCCATGGCTTCTTGATCACGTAAACAACGATCTCTTCTACGAAAACCAATGGTACTACTTTGTTCCGAGACCTAAAATAGGAGGCAAGAAACCGAAGCGGACCGTACCAGGAAGAGGAGAAATTGAAGGCGGCACATGGAGAAGCGTTACTTCGAAAAAGGAGATCGTCAACAAAAAAAACCAAGAAGGTGGGTTACATTCAGGGTTTCGTGTACACCAAGCAAGTGAACGGAAATCCAGTGAGCACTAATTGGCTCATGACCGAATTTTCCCTTCATAATAGTGCTCACGACAACTTGGTCTTGTGTAAGATCCGATACAATACCGACAAGAAGCTCAAACCTGAAGTCGGTGATCAGGCGCCTCGTTTAAGAAACAACGTCCAAGTGCGAGAAGATGAAGAAGTTGATTTAACCGGTTTCGCTAATGTACTTGAGGATATGTTGGTAGAGGGAGAAGAACATGGTGACGTCACTCAGCAACAACAACAGCAAGATCCACCGATTTTTCCTCCTCTTCATCAAGGTCATGATTCAGGGTCCGAGACGCCGATGATGACACAGAGCAACGACAACAACAACATGACGATGTGGACACAGAGCAACGACAACAACAACATGAACCAGTGGGATGATTTTGACTTCGATGGCTTGGAGAATTTGATGTTAGACGTAGATGAACTCATTGCTGTGGAAGGTGACGTACAGAGCCATGCTGACGCTATAATATAAGAAACATAGGCGTATGGTCTATATTTTTTTAGAAAAACTTAGGAACCTTTTCTTTACAAGATTTACATATACATAATTTTTTAGTTTTTTAATTTATTTTTAGTAGGTTCAATATTATTGGTTAGCATTTCTTCAAGTGAAAATAAGAATGAAGAGAATCTCCTTGAAAGAAAAAATAAATAAAACAAAATAAAATATTATAATATTAGGATAAACAGTTTCTTGAATTTATTATTGTGGTAGTTTGTCTTTTTTAACGTTCACCAAATTCATTAAGTTTTGATATTTGTATTTCTTATCTTTTGCTTAATTTTATTTCATTTTTAATCATTTCTATTAAGATTTTATCCTAAATTATAACTAAAATATTATAAAATTATGTGTAAGTTTATAGGTGTCACCGAACAACATAAGAAACTAAGAAATATTAGGTTTTAAAACTAAGTTCTTGTTTGTACTTTTTAAAATTATTATTAATTTTTTGTGGACATTTATACCTTTAATGTATTTAATACATTTTATTTTTTTATTGATATGTTTTTTTTAATATGATGGAAAATTTGAACATTCCAACAAATTCTCATCATTAGAATTCTCTAAAATAGATTGAAAATACTAACATTTAAGATTTAAAAAAACTATTTTATTGTCATCGGCTCTGGTCAGTATTTACCTAAGCAAGACTCTGGTAACGTAGATATATTCACCTCTGAGTTGTGATCTCTGGAAAAACAGGGGTTCCATTTGCTCCAGGTCTCCTATCGATTTGGAAATCTTCATCTTTAGTTTATTGAATCTTGTCTGGCTCGATTGCTGTTGCTTCCTTTCTCAAAGGTCTTATGTTTGATCTTTTTGGTTTGATCTTTTTGGTTTTCCTTTTTACCCGTGCTAGGTAATGTATTTTTTATTTATCTATATAACCGTTTGATTAGTGCTGTGTATTGTTATTTTTTCTTAATCTTAATGAAAACCCCTTAAAAAAATATTCACCTCTGACACTGGAATCTAATTTCAGTAAACCGGAAGTACAAAAAGTACTTGCGGTTTTAAGATAGAGATGATAAAATCAGTAAAAAACAAAAAAAAAGTTTACAAATTGCAGAGGAAATGCGGCGCAGCAAAACGCCGGAACAGAGGAATACGATGGGATAGGTTTTTGAAAAAACAGTCGGTTTATATATAAATTTCGGTTTGGTTTATATTTTGGTTCAGTTTGGTTCTTGGTTATGATACTATTTTGCCCACTCTAATATTGTTTGTGATATATTTGTCATTTACCTTCGTTCTAAATACGTAGTCATTCAACTAAGATTAAGGATAAGATTAATGCATATCCATAATTTGTGAATCTGGTCCTTTAGATAAACTTTTTGAGGATTTTCATTAAAACGCTTTATGTTCATCGAAATAATATATTTAAAAAAGAAAAAGTAACATGATAGAAACAGAAACAAAAATTCGTATAATTAATTTCCCAAATCGGGCTTTGATCTCTTCTAGGAACTAGTTTATTTGACCGTGATTTTATTTGTATACCGATAATTATTTTCCTACGTAAAAAGGAAAATGTGAAAAACAAAAAGAAAAGTAATATATTTGAGGATTTAGTTAAAACGCTTAATGATCAATCAAACTAAATAATATATTTTTTTATCAAAAAAAAAAAAAACTAAATAATATATTTGGAAAAAAGGAAAAGTAGCATGAAAAAACAAAAACAAAATTAGTATAGTTAATCATACAAAGCGTTTGGGTTTTGATCTCCTCTAGGAAATATACGATTCACTCTTACATTATCCATGTATATAATTAACTGACCGTGATTTTATCTGTATACCAAAGTTTTCCTACGTAAAAATGAAAGTATGAAACAAAAAATAAGGAAAAAGTGTGTCCTCCTAATCATATACGAAAGAGAAGTGAGCTTGGCCACCACCGACTAACGAAGATATAAATAGAGAGCAACGTTGAACAAACAGCTCATTAATTTTCTGTGAACAAAACGTAAAAGAGAGAGAGAGAAAGAGAGAGATATTATAATGGGAGAACCTTCGTATGTGGATGAATCTTTGCTGAAAACTATCCGTGTTCTTGGCAAAGGAGCTTATGGCTCCGTCTCTTTGATGGTGCATCCCCGCGACGGACTTTACGCGAAGAAGACATCTTCCATTCAATTTAAGGAGAATCTTGAAAAGGAGCTTAGGGTCATGCTTCGCTTTCGCAACCATCCTCGCATCGTCCAAGCCTCAAGCGATCACGTTCACTTAGTAACCGAACATCCAAGTTGCTACATCTACATGGAGTACGCCTGCGAAGGGACTCTCGACAAGTTCATCTCTGGTTTCCGTGGGAAACCACTTCCTGAGTTTATGATCCAAAGCGCCGTTCGTATGATCCTACAAGGACTCGAGGCTCTTCACTCCAATGGCTACGTCCACTGCGACATCAAGCCAGCAAACGTCCTCATCTTCCCTTCCGAAACTCCTGGAGAGCCATGGGATCTCAAGCTATGTGACTTCGGTTCATGCAAGGAACCAAATACCGATCCTGCCCCTCTCGATGGTTGCACGGTTGTCAACATGGCACCAGAGTCTTTTAAATTTGGGCCAAAGGGTCAGATCGAGGCGTGTTTTGACATATGGGGTTTAGGGTGTATCGCTTATGAGATGTTTGGAGGTAGACCCCAGCAGGAGTTTCTGGAAGATTACTACGAGTGGAATCTGACTGAAGAAGTCTCTCCCGTGGCTAAGGACTTTTTGAGTCTGTGCCATGCAATTCCATCACGCAGGCCCACCGTGGCTCAGCTCTTGAACCATCCTTTCGTCACACAAAGCCTCGATGCTCCATCGCCAATGCCTGACTACATTACAATAAGAAGATTGGCCAACGCTTCCAGAATCCCTCCGGTGATCAAATAGATCGATGTAAAGTCAATAAATGAGTTTTTAGTCATGGCGGCTTTTTAGGGTTTTAGTATTTTAGGGTCATATAGTTGAGGTTTGTAGCGTGGCTTGTTGGTCAAGTAAGAAACCATTTACCAGTTTCTACTTAGGTTTTTCATTAATGTGCTAAGTTTCAGGAACGTACTACTGAATCAGCTTGCTCTTCCTTTTCATTTATTTTTTTGTTAATGGGTGATTTTAATGTTCAGATGCTCTAACTTTAATGATTTTGGTGAATTTCTGATGTGTCTGTGATGGCTTCGTTTTCTCGTAATGTTAGCCGAATCAAATCTGCCTTTACCAATTTCTATCTCCTTAAATGATTTAGAAGATTTTTTAATCGAAAAAGGTCCAAATCAATTAAAAGCTGAATACATTCTTTTTAATCATAGCTCAGTGGATAGAAACAATTGTTCTTCTTAATCATAGCTCACGGAGTTACAATTTCCAAACAATCTCGAAACCATAATCTATCATCATCGTTTCTTTAACCTAGAGGAGGCGGTTTTACTTGAGCCTTTCCTTTCTAAGTCTTTCAAGTTCCAACACCATTTGCCAGTGCTCTAGTGAAAGCGTAGTCTCACCATAGCTCACAGACATCATGCGAGCCATTGTCAACAATCTGCACAACAGCGAAACAAAGTTGAGAATTTTCCCATATTTGATGAGAATAAACCTTAAGGAAGGCTTTAGTACCTGCTCAGGTCTTGGCTGCCTAAACTACGATCCGTTTGCCTTGCTGCAACCAAATCATTCTCCACTACCTGCAATAAAAATTTGCAGAATTTAGACTCAAAAGTCGGATAACAATGGCTTTCTTTAAAAACACAAGATACTAAAACTATTGTCATAGAGAATACTTGTTGCAAGTCTTGCCCAATGGAATGAGATAACGATTTGCAAGTAGCTAAGTAGCATCTCCAAGCTTCTGCTGTTTCTGGTGTGATGACTTCCAATGAGTTCAATTGGGAAGGTTGAAAAGGTAGAACCAAATCGGCAGGCATTATGTTTGATTTCCCCTCAGAGAATATGAGCATTTGAACGTCAGTGGCCATTTCCATTTTATAATATTGGAAATCATACTCCACCTGAAATAGCAGAAAGATTCCATATTCATATTCTGGATCTGATTAGAGTGATGAATAATGACATTGCTTTACCTTCTGACATTCCAAGAGGTTTTTGAGCAGCTTTGCATTCTCAACTCCAACAGAGTTCAAGGTGCCTGGTTGCAACTCTGTTTCGTCCAATATCAAGTGTGTACCATCAGCAATTTGTAGAACTCCAGGCACCAATCTTGGGTCATTAACAACAGCTTATCAAAGGTCTCTCAAGAGAATATTTCAAAACACTTGTTAAGAATGTAGAGATGGATTTCTTACCTGTTGATGCTATAGTCTTTCTTGGGACCGAGGGAGGCAGTGTTCAGATACTCAATAGTAAGTGGTATAGATTGTGTGAATGGCAGGAGGCTTTTGAGTGCATAGCTGAGCTTGGTGCCGAAGATAGACATGCTTTCTTTATTAAGGTGTATGAGATTCAGTGAGAGCTTCCCGACAGCAACATTATCGACTCTTCCATGCACCTACAAAGGAACACAACATGTGAAACTTACAAGGGATTAGCAGAAAGAGCTGACAAGAAAGAATAGGTGATCCACTTTAACTAGTTACCTTCGACAGTAGATGCAATAATAAGAACTGTGCCGCAATGTGATCATTCCCAAGTAGACCGGTAAGGTACTTCATCAAACTCTCTCTTATCTCTCTGAATATTTGGGGAGATTTGGGCTGCCATATATAGAAAAGTAACCAAAGATTATGAAAACAATGCAAGACTGAGACTTAGCTACAATGTTTTGACTGATGGTACTTGCCTCTGTTAACAAGGAAGAACCATGCAGGAAATGTTGCGTTTCAAGCTTCCTGTGGACAAGACAATGGAGGCGTGGAACCTTTCCGGAGGGCATCTGAACAGATTCAGCTTCAGAAAGATCATCAGAGTTTTCATCATCCACATCCATCATAGCGTTTGGATCGAAAGTCAACACTCCAACGAATTCAACCACATCATTTAGCTTCAATTCAGACTCTGGAGAATCATAAATCTGCGTAGCCGCATATGAAATTTGTCAAAAAAACTACTTTTCTCAGCTTAGATACATGTTAACGGGTAATGAAATGAAAAAAGTGCCAAATATTTACCTTCACAAGACAAGGTAGAGAATCTGTACTTGTAGCAGGCGGAATAGCAGAACATAGTGGAACACCATTAGTCCCGAGAACCTGAGATTCTGAAGCTGATGAAGTAGCTTCCCCTGCTTTCTGATATACATATAAATGTCGAAATAGTCAGAAATGTATCATCTAAGTGCCAGTAACGGTAAGAAAATGATCTCTAATTTGCGGGTTTTTCCACAAGTTATACGAATTTGTACATTGAATAAAGACTACGAGACCAAATACTCACCATTCTCTTGAAAGGAGAGCCGTTAAGCCCAGCTTCTGCATTCTGCAATAGTGGATTAAATAAGTTATTGACCAACAATTCCAACAGATATTGCTGCGTCAAAAATCAGTACTGTATAAAGCAAAGAAGAGAAACAAAGTTACGTTTAAATCCATGGAATCAGTCATTTCTTCATCCCCCCTTACACGCTTTTCCCTGTTTTGGCCATCTAGATTTAAAAACCGGTTCTTCAGCTCTTCAGAAGAACATTCAGTCCATTGGTTTTGTCCGGGGACCTACATTGCAATCAAGTGATATTATGTTTAGACATCCATGATTATGAACAACAACAAAAATAAAGATCAGCGTTAGAGTAAAAACATACCGGAACACAGTATAGTAATCGACGCTCCCAAACTTGCATTTCAGAGGAAGAACCCTCAGGAGACTCGGAAACATCACTGTACTTATTGGTTTTCCATGTTGAACCATCCTTAACAAAAAAAAAACAGTTATTGACAAAATAAATCTTAATCGCCTCGTTAGTAGATACAATCATACAAATCATCAAAAGCTATGTGAATCTATATATATATATATATATATATATATATATACCTTGTAAGCACCAGCATAGAATTCATTTCCGAGCATGTCCTGTATCATTCCACGAAACCGGACCAGAGTCTTGGGCTGTATCCACTTGATACTAGACGAGTCAAGAATTGGAACCTACAGTAGACAAAAAAAAAGTATTGGTTAATTAAGAAAAAACTAATTATTAAAAACAGATCCTTTGAAACTCCAATTAACCGGTCTGTAGATAGACTACAACCTCAAAGAAGCTGATCTACTCAGAACACAACCAAATAACAGGAAAGATTCTAGCTTTTGATTTTGATTACAAACAAAATTACTGATAATCGCTAATTGGGTAATAAACAAATCAACCACTCCATAAATTTCCCTAAACCCAAAACGGAAAAAAGGCAAACGACCTCGTAAGGGAATAAGAGTTAATAGAGTAAAATAAACAAAAACCTGAGAGATTGCAGATTCGTCGGAGAAGTAGTGACGGAATAAATCGACGACGCCCCAGTCTTTTCCGACGGACGACGATGGATCGTAGCCCGAAGACAGAGCATTTACGAAGGAGAATCGGACGGCTCCCAAAGGATTAGTCAAACAATCGTACGCTGGTCCTCCCATATCTCCCGATCTCAACGAATCTTTTGCAAAGTTCTATGAGCGAATCAGTAAAGGATAGTGATGAAAACTGAGTCTGCTCATAGGGCATGTCCAGTCTATAGTTGGGCCTTTCCCGCCATATCTGCTAGATCTTTCCCGCCATGATTATGCCCATACTCCAAATACAAAACGCAGCGTTTTGTGCAAACGCAACGTTTTATGAAAACGCAGCGTTTTGATCAAACGCTTAATACGGTGTCTTTTTATTATTTTATGTGCTATTTTCTTTCAAAAAGAGTATTGGTCAAAAGTCAAAACACAGATGGTTCTATGAATCACAAGAAAAAAAAAAAGCTAACATCACGAATTTACATATTAAGTTTTTATATATATGATTTTTTTTTTTAATTCAAACAACATAAACCATGCCGACTTCTAAAAGAGAAACAGGCGGGACCTTAAGGGCCACGTCAGGCCCTCTACAGTTCCTCCTCAAGAAATTATAACCGAAATTAACGGCCAATCTCTTCATCACCGACGATCCTTGTTTCGCTTTCACATGTGAATGTCCCAATATAAACGCCGTCCCGGCCTCTTGCGCCGCCACCAAATCCCTTAGCTCACTCCTCAGCTCCGCCTCCGCTTCTGCCGACGCCGACGATCCTTCCTCCTCGTACCTATCCTCTTCAACCGCAAACCTCACACGTCTCACGGTGGCTGTTGGCACAACCTCAGCCATTTCTATAACGTCTTCCATGCTCTCCACGGTGGTGAATCCGATCGAAACGCTCTCCGGTTGGAGATTCTCCTCGATCTCGTAAGCCACGGTTCCGATCACGGCCAGTCTTGACTCGCTCGAGGATTCATTTGACCGAGCCGTGTCGTCTTCTTGATTTCTTTTGTGCCAGTCGTAACGGATGAAATCAGCAAGCTTGCTCACGAGCTCTGTTTCGAACGAATCCACGTCTTGATGGACGTCTCTGTATCCGTAACGCACGATGCAGCGATAAGACCGGTGGTCTACAGGACCCACACGTCCCACGAGGTATCTCTCTGCAGGAGGAACGAACGGGACAGGGACTGATTTCACGCAGACGAAGACGAGGACACGGTGGAAAGCAGGGAGGTTTGTGACGAACCGGGAGAAATTAGCCGGGATTCCAGAGGTTAGATCAGTGAAGACTAAACCAATCCCTGGGACACGAGTGATTCCGAGGCTTGGACCTAAGGCAAGAAGCCATTCAAGAGAGACTTTGTTCTGGAGATCAAACTCGTATTTCTTGATGGTTGTGTAATGCCAAACGAACATGACGATCATGAAGAATAAGGATAAGAGGATC